ATGTCAAGGGGGAGTATCAGGAGGACGGAGCTAGGCTCTTCAAAAATACTAGAAAAACTTTTTCACGGTGAGGGTGACAGAGCACTGGAACAGACTGCCCAGAGAGGTTGTGGAGCCTCCTTCTTTGGAGAGATTCAGAACTCACCTGGATGCATTCCTGTGCGATCTACTGTAGGTGTTCCTGCTCTGGCAGGGGGGCTGGACTAGATGATCTTTTGAGGTCCCTTCCCACCCCTGATATTCTGTGATTCTGTGAAGCCCCCTCTTTTTCTTGCCCAAGATACTCCTATCTCCTACTATGACTAAGTTCTTGATTATAATTAATACTCTTAATGATGACTCCTCCATCCCATTTTTTTCTTTTTAAATACAACCAGATAGTCAGCAATGGAGAGGTTGCGTGAGTGAGAAGTCTGTTTACTACAGGGACAATTAATGAGGTTTTGGATCACACTTTCCATGTAAATGAATGCTTTCTTTTTGTTAGCCCATATAAGCTTTCATGCCAGGAGTATCTCAAGACAATAAATGTCGCAGATTAATTCTGTCTATGTAAGAAGGTACTTCTCAAGGTACATCTCACAGGCTTTTCTTGCCTAGAGTGAAAGTAATCCATGAGTTCTTTCTGTTCTATTTTAATGTAACTAGATTTCCAGGTCTTCTTAGGAAACCTTCCACTGACAAACAGGTGGATTTTGCAATCCTGAACTAATACAAAGCTTGTTCCAGAGACATATATTGATATATATAACTCTGCGTTAATGTGTAACTCAGATAATTTCAATAGCAATCATTTATTTTAATTCAGTAGCATTCTTAATATATGTTACATCATTAAATTGACATGAGGCCAATACAGCTGAATAGACCATGGTAATTTTAAAGCACTGACGTTTTTTATTACAGCACTCTGGCATTAATTCATTGCAAAGATGCTTTATATAGAGAAATTCTACAAAACTTAAAAGTAAAATGTAGGTTTTTATATGTCAATATGCTGCCTATGACTGTAATTATAGCAATGTGCATACATCACATTAATAACATGGAGGAAATCAGCAGTACCGCAGGATTCTCTTCTATTTGCCATAATTGCTTCGATTACTAAAAGGGCAAAAACTACATTTGCTTAGTCCGTCAAAACAAGTCACATATTATTTAAGGAATAAGAGTTATACAGCTGCGTTTCCCAGTAAGCTGT